TGTGGCCGGCATGACTAAACACCTAAATGCACGGAACGCTGTTACCTGCCCACCGAAGTGGTACATTTTTATCTACTTGCATTTGCATGCTATCGAACTGCAAGGTTGGCAGGAGCTGGGACGGAGCAACGGGAACTCACCCCATTGTGCAGATTCGAACTGGCGACCTTTCGATCAACCAACCCAGCAGCACAGCGGTTTAAACCATTGCACCTCCTGCAGTCCCAGTATAAGCATATCAGAATGCAAATTTAAATATGAATTTTGGGGGGAAATATATATGTTTATCTTATTTTGAGGACAGAATGTATAATACCAATTTGGGAGATATGTAGTGGCCATGTGACTCAGCCTCTGCAAGGTGGAAAAACACAGACACAGGAACCAGGGTCTGCAGTTGCACCACACTCGCAATCACACAATAAAACGTGGTGCTAAAAATAAAGCAAGGTATGTGTGTCCAGAACATGGCCAATGTCTTGTAAAGATCATCAGCACAAGCTCTCCATCAAGTCGGTTAATTAGGGAGAGTACTGCCAATGCTACAAGTTGAATCCAAATCAAATCTCCTTCTTCCCTTTCCCACCAAACAGAGTTAGCTCAACCCAGGGTGGGCTAGTTAGATTTCCTATTTGTCTTAGGCCTGTTTCCTATGTTTCCTTTTCCTTATGTTTCCATGTTTCCCCATCACATCCAAGACAAACTCCCCCAAATGAGTAGTCTCCACAAGAGATAGCTAGAACTGGAAACAAAATGAGATACCATAAAGAGAATTTAGAAAGATCCATTGCAAACATGTTGTTCAGCTAATGTCCCCAGAATCAGTTTGTGCATTTGAAATCCACACTGTATTTATCTGAGATACCACAGGATTCCTTGGAGTTCCAAATCCAATGGCTTGCCACCTCTAGGTTGAGTTTCCAGAGGCTGAGCTGCTATGCTGCTCTCCAGACAGCTGGGGCAGTCCCATCATAATGGGGCTGCGAGTGGGGAAAATGGAAGTGTGACAGGGTGGAGAGGAGGTTGGGGATCACAGATTTATAGCAATTCCAGTTAAAAGTCCCATGGAGACCACTGCCACTGCTGACACCCCATTCTGGGAATATTTGGGAACGGAATCCCCAGAAAACTCCTTTGAGAATGTGCAGAGGTCTGGATGGGGAGCCTGTCTGATAACCAAATAGCATGTGGCTCAAAAGAGGTGAAATGGACATGTACTGGACATGGACAGTTTTGCCTGCCCCCACAGAACTGCAGCATCCGCCTATTTAAATAACCATCAAGAAAACTCTGCAGTGGATTGAACAGCCCATATGATTTTATAATATAAATATCCTAAGTCTAAGGAAGGATAATACAACCCATATTAGATTTAGCTGACAAATGGATTTTGTTCTAACACAGAGTCACTTGTGCATTGGTTAATTCGGTGCAGTTGTCATGAGCTTTTTTAAAACAACCAAAAAGTAGAACTCATTCTTTTACTGATTGTCAGCTCTATTTCTCCTGCAAGCCAAATATAAAAATAATTTCATTAAAATGAATCTGTGACATTTCATTACAGCAAAACTGTTGCTGAAGAGTCTAATAATCATTTATACTAATTGGGGTATATTTCAAAGTGTGGCAGACAAGGGCCCTGAATTCTGAACTCAACTAATATGCAGCTTTGTAGAGTTGGTGAGACTGTAAACATGCTTTTTGCTGATGGAATAACAACATTCAGGACTATAGAGGCAATTTTCATATCCCATTTTGAACTTTGGAACAAACCATGAGGACTGATTGGGGAAGTCATGTGGCTAAGTTCATTGACACTGTGGTGCCCTCAGCCTGGTGAAATATGGAGCCAGAAGTTGCTCCAAAGCTGGTGGGAATGCATAACAGTTGTGTTGCTGTTTAGTCGCAAAGTCATTCCTGACCTATCACGACCCCATGGACAACATTCCTCCAGGCTCTCCTATACTCCACCATTCCCGGAGTCCACTTAAGCTCACACCTACTGCTTCAGTGACTCCATCCAGCCACCTCATCCTCTGCTGTCCCATTCTTCTTTTGCCGTTAATAGTTCCCAGCATTAGGGTCTTCTCCAGTGAGTTTTTCCTTCTCATTAGGTGGCCAAAGTATTTCAACTTCAGCTTCAGTATCTGGCATTCTAAAGAGCAGTCAGGGTTGACCTCCTATAAGACTGACTGGTTTGATCTCCTTGCAGTCCAAGTCTTCCCCAGCACCACAATTCAAAGGCCTCAATTCTTTGATGCTCAGCATTTCCTATGGTCCAGCTTTCACAGCCATACATTGCAACTGGGAAAACCGTAGCCTTGACTATACGCACTTTTGTTGGCAGGGTGATTTCTCTGCTTTTTAGTATGCTTTCTTCCCAAGGAGTAAACATCTTGGCTGCAGTCACCAGGAAATTCTCCTTCTCCTTCTACTTCACTGTTTACTACTTTCACAGGTAATACTTTTTGTTATTTTCAGTTGCTGCTCATTTTCATTTACATCTGTCTATCCATCCTCTATCATCTCCTCTGCTTTATTAATGTCATAATGTAATTGAAATGTAGTTATCTCATTTTTTTAAAGTCTCCTTGAATAGTATTTTCTAAGAAGAAAGGGAAAACCGGCAAATGTTTTAAATGCATACATTTTGCCAGCCCAAATGCCTCCGTCTAATTCCACAGCCTCATTGACATTCCAGGAAGATATGGGGGCATTTTGGCATTTTTCCAAGGTTGGACGCTCTCCAGGACAGGGAATGACTTTTCAATTCCCTTTGGATTCTAATTTCAGAACAATGCTTGAAGTGCCATCCTGAATCACTCTGGGGACATAAAAGTGGTAGAAGCTAGCCAAGGTGAGCCAATGAAGTTGTGTGTGCTGATGAATTCTCCATTGCTTGGGCATGTGTCTGAAGTGTGGCAAACAGAAACGAATGCTCTGTTGAGTAGGTAAAGGCAAATGGTGAGGCTTCTAGTAAAGGCTAGCCACAGGATTTGTGCCAAATCACAGTCACATGGCTAAAATCAAAGTTCAGGCTTGCTTCTGTACCAAAATAAGCCTCTAAAGTTTGCACATACAACAAGCTTTGGGCCCAGACTCATTTACCTGGAATTTCTGGCATTAGCCCTTGGTGCCAACACTGGATTTGAAACAGATTTCAGGGCCTGACAATGATTCAGCACAGCTCAAATAAGCAGATCAAACAAAAGAGATCTCCTGCTAGCATCATCTCATCTATCAGCACAGCTCATTATCATAGCCTGCTTACAAAAGTTTCAACAAATAATCTTTGCTGCTATGGAAGGTGCAATAACAACCTGGTTATTAAAGTAATTTTTGTTACAAATGATCACATTTAATGATTAGCCCACGACAAATCTGTTGAGCACTTCATTTTCTGAGATGTAAATATAGACAGATGACCGAACAGGAAAGGAATATCTGAAAGGAAACCAGCAAGATATCCTAATGGCTCTCATTTTAAGAGGTGCTATCAAATTATGACAGATAATGAACAGGATTCTGCTTTGATAAATTACAGGATGACACCTTGGAGAGGTACAATGCACTTCCATTTATTAAAAGAGTGAGTTGGTGCTAATGCTGGGGACCGATACAAAAATGTGCTAATACATTCAGAGAACTGTAGTCAGAAGGTGTGAAAACACGATGGAAGTTTGTGGGTACAGGGGAAGAGACAGAGTCATTCTGCAACCATTTGATTTAGGAATATTAAGGATGGACCTGTATCTCCAGTGAATGCTATCACTGGGGAAAAAAAAAAAAAAGTAATCAGCCAAACGGGAAAAAAAGCATTCAGTTGCTTGCATCCTCAAATTGAATAGAAATTTATTTATTTTCACAGAAGAGATATTTCCAATGATCTCCAATGTGTCATTCCAATACAGTCAGTTCTGACACAGCAGATGTTTTGTGTTATTGCTCAACTAGTGCAGGGCTGCCCGCATCAGAGAGCATATATTTATCAAATGTTGATAACACAGGTCTAATTCTATGCTTAACTCAATTTGCTGTCTTAGTGATACAATTTAGCAGGAATTGTTTTAGTTCTGCATGTCACTGCAAATTACAATGAAGCATGCAGGTATTGGGTTGGCTGATGTGGGGAACTGAGGGGAAATAGAACTGTTATCAACCATGAGATACACAACTTATCAATTATAAAGGAGACCAAGTTTAAATGCAGCAAACCTGTACCCTGGACTTCAAAGAAAGCCAACTTTAATGAATTCAGACCTATGATAATCAAGATGACATGGCAACTCGCTCTTAACGAAAAAGAAGTCCAAGAGAGGTAAGAATCTTGAAAAAGAAGATTCTCCAAGCACAACTACAGACAATTCTAAATAGAAAAAGGTATAGAAGACTGCAGAGGAAGCCCATGTGGTGCCACAAAAAGTTAAGTGACAGCCTGAAAGAAAGAAAAAAAAGAACATGTACAGGAAGTGGAAACAAGGCCAGGCAAAAAAGCTAGAATATAAGCAAAAGCAAGGAATTGCAAGGACAGCATCAGGAGGATTTTTTAAAATGTTTTTTCTTTTTTCTTTTTTGTTTAGCTGTATGTAACTTCTTTCCAGTGCTTTTTTTGTAAAAAAAAAAAAAAAAAAAAGGTGCTGGAACTCATGTCGCCGGAAGTAAGCACGCGACCACACACACACACTCCCCGAGCAGTGGAGCAGTGTCCCAAGCTGAGAGCAGCGCCCTCACTTTCTCACTATCAGATAGCAGACGCAAAAGCAGCCTGCAGGCACTATGTCAATGATGTTTGCTGCTAATCTGCTATGATTCAAAATCACTTTGTAAAATCCACTGGAAAAAAAGGTGCCGGAACACCGTTCCGGTGCGTTCTAGGACAAAAAAAGTCCTGCTTTCTTCTACTAAGAAAAACAATACAATTACTATAATAACAATAATTGTAGCTAAACATGGCTGATTAACACAATTAAACAATACATTAATACTCCTGCTACCTCTACTTATTTAGTGTAAGATCATCTATTCATTCAGGTTGCCCCAGTTCCCTTCCAGAACTGTATTGTCTCTTGTGCTGGTTCACACCCCTTTCCTTTTATTAAAACATATTCAATAAAAGTTTTCCAAACATTTTCAAATTTATTTTCACTTATTAACCCTTTTCCATTTAATGTCACAAGTTAACTTATCATTAATAGCTATATTTCAGAGTTCTTTATACCAGTCAACTATATGATATTCACTTTTTGTTTTCCAGTTTCCTTGCTATTATTAATCTTACTGCTGTTAATAAATTTATTATAACTTCTTTAGTATTTTGTCCCATCCATTCTATGGATAATGACAATAATGCTAATCTTGGATCAACTTCAATATTTAAATTCAACATATTGCCAATTTCTTCAAAGATCCTTTTCCAAAACACAATTGTATATTTACACTCCTACCCTGCACTGCATAGTCCAGCGATGATAAACTGAGTGATAAATGCTTCATGCAAAAGCAAGTCTTGATGTCCCATGCATAAAGCATTCCTATGGTATGCAATGTTGTGTATTGATCATTATGACCTGGTTTGCATGTACTGGCAGCAGACTATGGCTTAATGAACTGCATTCCCATTGTAGACCGTGTCCACTTCACATGGAGAACTTCTAATCACCCTGTTCAGAGGAGATTTCACATTATGTACACACAGATTATATGGATTAGTCATAGCTGAAGAAACTCACAGTTAACCTACAATCAGTTCTTATGCTAACTTGTTAAACCCATGATTAACCCTCTGTGTCTGTATTCACATCATGCCCCAGCCAATTAGAGGTTGAAAATGCACAGTGGGAACAGTATGTAGTAGGCATATGCCATGGTAAACTGAAGGTTAATTATTCCACAGGTTCCAACCATTATGTGATGAAAATACCCATGCTTATCTCACTGCACATTCATACTCTGACTGAGTCTTCTGAATACACACAGACTTCAAAATGTACAGATGTGCATCTGTTGTGTACCATCTATATACAGCCAGACGTTTACACAGCATTCTGGTTCTGACATGGTTTTATAGAAGAATCTGTCTCATCTGGGGAAGCTATGCCAGAATGACACTGACATGGATTTATAGCTAACATTCACATGCCTCTATATCACTCAGAAATACATCCCTCAATATCTCTTACCTCCATAACTCAGAGGTGACCGTGTAAACAGCCTATAAAGTGTGGGTGCAATTCAGCACTAAAAATACTCAATACACTAAAAATAACAGGAGACCTGCAGCCAATGTTCAGGTTGGTAAATTTCAACACACACATCCCTTCCCCGTAGGTATCTAATCAGTGGATGAGAATATTCTTGGGAGAATATTTGTTTCTCTCCTGTGTCTCTCCTTCCATGAATGCCAGCTCTCAGTGATGCCATGCTCATTCTTTCTCCCCCATCCCATTTCCATGCAGCCTTGCCTTGTGTTTTGCATGGACAGCCAGTCTGGTAGTAGATGGATTGTTCGACTGGGAGTCAGGAGATCCGTATTCTGTTGCTGTTGTTGTTAGTCGCAGTCGTGTCCAACCCATCGTGACCCCATGGACAACATTCCTTCAGGCCTTCCTGGATTCCATATTCCGTATTCTAGTCCCTGTCAATCACTGACTATCAGTCTTACCTAATTCCCCGGGTTGTTTTTGTGAAGATGAAATGGGGAAGAGGAGTTAGTCTTATTTGTATTATCATGGTTTGGGGTATTATATGATATTTTATACTGCTGTATTTATTGAATTTTGTTTGTAAGCTATCCAGAGACACATAGTGATTGGATGGTTTAGAAATATCCCAAATAAACAAATCCCAAATAGGAGGAGGAGGACTTTGCTAACCATCTTAAGCTCCCTCCAAGAGCGAAAAATTGAAGTTATTGATGTAATGTGATGACAATAACAACAACAAATTGGTAACTGTGTTGGTGTGTGTATATTTTTAAATGGTTGTTATCACCACTGCATTGCAAACAATCAATAGATGGATGAAAGAGGAACGAAACTGAGCCAAACAACTGCTTTTGTTTCCAGCAATGACTAGAACATTATTTCTAGTGATCACAACATTTGCTTCATAAACATTTATTGATTCATGGCCAGTTTTCCACATTCCATGGGTATAATTACTGCATCTTCACAATAAAGGTGACATATTGAAACACTCAATTTCCTGTTTTAATGCTGTTTTTAATAGGGTATAGCTCAGAATAACTCTCTTAGTGTAATAACAACTCAAGAGCAGCCAGGTTGTTTCCTAGCACGAAGGCACCTGCATGCAAAAATCAGTTTTGCTGTGTTGTAATAACTGCAGAAGAAGATTGATATTTATTTAACTTATTCTAAGCATTTATATACTGCTTTCCTGGTGTCCCAAGCACCTCACATTAAATATAAGACAGCAGAAAATAGTCCTATCTTCACATAGTAGCAAATAAATTTGGCTTCACATGGGATGGAAGAATTCAGAGAAATTTTCAAGCACATTTCATGGATGCCAGAGTCGGGCACCTTCTACCCAGCCCACCTGAATGAAATCAAGACTGTTGTATGCCTAAGCATGGACCCTGTCATAGTGAACCCCTAAAGCCTGCGTGGAATGTGATCTGCCTGTGCTATTCTTGGAAAAGCCAAGGGCTGCCTCACCAAAGTGTCTCACCAAAGAGGTCCCTGTGCCTTCTGGAACCAGCTCTTGGAAAACCTGCCTGTCGCCTTGCTCCTGCCTCTGTTTCTGGACCATGCCAAGCTTCACCTACTCCAACTTCCACTCCAGGCCCAGGTATCTTCTTATCCTTGGCTTGTCTCTCTGCCTTTTGACTCCTGACTGGCAAGGGCTGCTCTGCTCTATTTGGATTGACTTACGTTGTACTTCTGTTACTCACCTTGACCTCTGGACTGCCTAACTACAAATTGGAATGGGCCTGTATATCGTACCAGTTGTCTGGGTCCTGGTGCCCTGACCTGATACCCAGCTGCCTATGCCCCGGATGCTGACAGAGACCCCCTGTTGCACAACTGGCAAACTTCCATCAGGTGCAACCACCCAAAGAACAGCGACAGGATGAGGAGGAAGAGGGCTGTGAATGGCCATTCCAGGCACCACTCCTGGCAATTTACTCTTTTCCCTGCCTGCAAGAGGCTCAATTCTTACTTGAACAGCACATGATGCTCATTTCCTAGCAAGTGTCCCTGGAACACTGGGTGTGCTCACCAGGAACTTGGATGCAGGACTGCTGCGAAGTGGACCAGAATCCAGGGAGCCAATCCCAGGAAATCCAGTGGATTCCTACCCCCAAACAGATACTTCACAGATCACTAATGGTAACTGACAGAGAAAGGGAATTTGGGTTTGTGGTGGACAACTCAATGAAATATGGACCCAGTGCATGATTGACCGCATGTTAGACATAATAGGAACAGAACTGAATATAAAACTACCACACAAATATAGCCTCACACAAATATTTGAAATGGCTTAGGATATTTTGCATATATCCTAAAGCATATATATGTATGTATGTATGTATGAAATTTCTGGTCACCAGAAATTTCTGGTATATTTTGGTATATTCTGGTATATATTTCTGGTCACCACACTTAAGAAATAATGTTGTAGAGTTGAAGAAAGTGAGGGAAAGGGCAACTGCAGTGATCAAGCAGTAGGAGTAGCTTCCCTGTGTGGAAGGTTACAAGAGCTGAGATAGTTGAACTTGGGAAAAAGGTGAGTAACAGGAAACAAGATAAGAGTTCCACAGACTAATGCACAGTGTGGAGAAAGTGGAGAAGGAAGCATTTTTTCTCCCTCTCCCATAATAAGGGAACCCAGAGTCATCTCATGACTGGTGTGAGATTCAGGACAGGTAAAAGGACAGATTTAGGTCTCCTTCACCCAGCACATAATTAAGCCATGTAATTCACTCCTACAACATGTAGTTCTGTCCTCCAATTTGGAAGGCTTTTTTCCCCTTTTATTTTATTTTTTTTACTTGAAAACAAAACAACTATAATAAACAGAGCAAATAGACAAAATAGGAATAGAGATAGACAAAACCCTGAAATAGACAAAATTGACAAGGGAATTTGAAACAGATCCAACTAGTACAATCAGCCCTCGAAATCTATCCATCAGCACTCCATAAAAATGTAATACAATTTTTTTAAAAAAAATCCTTAATCTAGACAACAACAGATCCTTGAATCATTTCACATTCTCCACAGCTTTCCCTTTCTTTTCTGAACATGTCAGATCCACTTATCATGCCGCAGATTCCTCTGACAATCTTCTAAACAGCATACTTCACCAATCTATTTCTCCATTCTTCAGTCTTTGGGGCCTTCGGTGATCTCCATCTAGAACAAACTGCAATCCTAACTTTGACATAATCCCTGAAAGGCTCTCTGACACTATATTGATAAGACTCATGAAAAACTGCTTTGATTCTCTTAAAAGAAAAATCTAGTGCATTAATATTAATTAATAATATCTTCATTCTGTCCCTAACTCTCTGTCTAATCTGATCAGATGACTATCTCTTTTCAGATCTGTCATCAGCTTTCCAGAATCCAATTCAGATTCCCTTCTCTTCCCTTCCCTCTCTCACATTTCTTCATACCTATAAGTAAACTACAAATTGACAGTACAGCTTAAAGCAGAAGAGTAAGGGAAGGGAAGGGAAAGCTAAGAGGGGGAAGAGAGAGAGGAAGGACAAAAGACAAAACTGGATAATGCTAGTCAGCTTTCTATCAATGTTAGCATTATTAGTGCCATTCTATCTCTATTAAAATATTAGTTTGAATTAGTTTGTTAAGAAGAGACACTGTTCTATCTTGCATTGCAAGGGGCCTTAACTTCCAATCTTCTCTAGGTCCAATAGGTGGAGATAATGGTCTTCATCATGTTTGTTCTTTAGCATTATTAATGTTTTATTCTTAAGGGGAGCCAGGACCAGCAAATAACCCCAAGGTCCCATCAGGGAGATATACGTGTTCCTTAGATCAAATCAAGCATTGCTTAGATCAGAAACAGCAACAAAAAATTGCCTGGCTCAAACAACCGGCAACTCCATTAAAAATGAAGGGGGGAGAGAATTGTCTCTTCTGCTGCAGTGAGCTTCAGCCAAGGTCAATTTATAATGTCCAGAATTCTTGAATAAAAACA